TCACACATTTGAAATAATGCAATAGTGAGAATAAATATAGAGTATTGCGAGTACAGGGTATACAACGATAAACAAAATTAATTTCTATAGAAATAAGATTAGATAACAGAAAACGTGCATGTTTGCATTATTGTAATTAGGTTATCGAACCTGTGGCAACAATTTAAACTCCTTGGTTGATAAACCTTTTTCACACACTCAGGAAATTATTAATAAGTCGTTTATAAAGACATGTTAAAATTACAATTTTGTAGTTCATCATTGTGTATTAGGACCGTCAAACCATTATGAATATACCAAGATGAGTAAATGCTTATGTTGTAGTAGTAAAATGACGACATTCATTTAATTTGTAATCGCTCCAATATTGTATATGGTTTCTACGTTATTATTGGTAGTTGGTGAAGCCAGAAATTTTAGATTCTCCATTCTCGTCAGAAGTAGTATAACAGGAACTTGTTTTTGGTCCGAAGCTATGAGATATTTCCACAAATTGTCTCTCTCCAGAGTGAATTGAGTTGTTCTTTATTCGACGTAGAAGAAGGATAACAACGGGTATGAGTGCATCATTGCAGACATTGTCATTCGCAGCTAACAATGTGACAACCGGTAGAAGGTAAGATAAGCAGGCACTCGTTTTTTTTCGTCGAAATGAACGAGCACAGTTATCAATACTACGTAGTACAAACCAGTAGGTGATTGAATTTTCAGAAAATAATTAATAGAATTAGTACGTAATTAATGAAGTGGACTAAAAGGTACAAGACGTTCAACAGAAGTTGTTCTAAACTTTAATGATACTAGCACGTAATAACCAAAATAAAAGTCTTTAGTAACCATGATTTATAATAATTAAAAATTATTCCTTAATGTTAATATTCTTGCTGTAACAGAAGTGTGTAAAGTAATTATTCACTTTAAACAGAGGAATAACGAACTATGTGTATCTAAAGATTCATATTTCGGAGCACAATTATCAAATTTAGGAGAAATTTGCAGTACTGTAGGTACGAGAGAGATAGGAGGCATAGAGTGTGTATGTGTGTGTGTGTGCGTCTCCTGCGCAACGCCGTATGTTTTTAAGTAACGCGACCTCGCGAACGGCGCGATTAGCAAAAACAGCTGTTTTTTCGGGAAACGTGTAAACGAAAGACGAAGACAAAGCAGTCCGTATTGTACCTCCGAGTAACGAGCACGTGTTGAATATCTCATATCGTTGTACTTTACATTACTATACTTAAATATACCTTTCTATATATATATATCCATACATATACATATACATTAATTGTTTTACCTAGTTTAATCCCACAGTACCTAATTTAAAAAGTTGTGCAAAAGCCTCTTTCTTACTTTTATATATTACGATTTCTAAATGGTTTCTCTTGTATTCGTTGAAATGAATTTTTTAACAACTACAGTAAATCCTCAATGAGTGTTCGCAGGCTCCTTGGCACTGAACATGAAATATTTCATAAACTAATGGCCATATGTGGCTGAAACGAATATCATTTGCTTCAGTAAATCTATTTTTACTTTTACGATTTAGTTTAAATAAAAATACCACTAAATCTTATTAATAGTTTATAAATAGTATTGAAAATAATTTTGACGCACGTATCATTGTTATGAAAGTAAACAAAGCGCAAATTACTCGATTCGTTTCAATGGTCCACAACAGTGCTCTTACAATGAGACTCGAAGAGTCAAACGGAGTACTAGAAAACAGCTTAGTACAATATTGGTTTTCCTTATTGTAACATTAAAAACTTTCGAAAGACATTATCTTATTCTAATTAAGTGAAATTTTTACTTTTATTCAATATGTAAGAAGCAAGCGATATTCACTTTTTATGTTCTATTAGAAATTTTATTGTATCTATATAATGATGATTTCAGTTTCTGTTTTGCTTAAGACCAAGACTTTAAACTAAACATTTCAAATGTTCTGGAACACGGAATATTTAAACAATGTGAATGTATACTTAGGCCACGTTTCTGTGTATGCAATACACGGCGTCAAACACATTTAAAAGCGTCCTTTCCCTGCACGTAGCCATTGAAAAGCAATGCTTTTTAAGTGTGTCTGAAATGTGCATTTTGTTTGGTTGGATACATGTATTGAGATGCACGACATGAAGGTGCCGTTGTTGCTACGTCAAATGGTGTCTGAGACAAATGTACACATTGGTAATATTGACGACGTACTATAAAAATAATACAACATAAATTAAATGTAACATAATTAACAAAGTATGTATTTTCAAACCAGTTTGCAGTCTTCTTCTATTTTTGTATTAGTATTATATTAGTATTTTATATAAGTATTTCAAATCCAATTTTACCCCTACTTTGGTGATCATTTTCATGGTGTCATAAACAATCTAACAAAATTTAAGATTCAAATTAGAGATTAACAAAAGTTAGGAGACCTTTCAGAAGATAACACATTATTCAGAAGCTTCGCACCATTTTCTTCTAAACCTCATTCCTTAAGCTTATAGAAAGTAGGTTTAAAAATTCGAAGAACATATGTCCTTTAATCGTTTGAACAGGTAGTTATTTATAAAAGAAAAACCTAATAGTTTCTTACGTGTGTGCGTATAAATTTAAGTCAATTTGTTCACTTCTTTTTTATGTCGATTTGAGTTGAAATTATAAATCAATTTATGAAGGAAACAAATATTTTTCGTAGTTTGGTTTTCGGCTGTGCAATAATTAATGTTATTAATATGAGCATAGATTGTTTGTGTTCTGTAGTGGTTACTCAATATGTATCTAATAAAAAGTTTAAGTAGTCAATTCTTTTGAAATTATCGAAAATATTTCTCTATTTTGAGCACCCGAGGTAGAATTATACTTAATATAATTACTTGTTGTTTCATAGTCCTTTATCACATCGAGTTCCTTATTATCCAAAATATCGATTTACGTTTATAGTTACATAGTTATACATATAGTTATTGCTACATTGTGGTATCATACATTTGTAGCATAAATACATAATTAAAAAGATGCGAAAGAAAAACTTTTCATAACGTGTAATGACATTCACGTTTTATTTGTAGGACAATAAAACTTGCGGTTGACGAAATGAATTTTCATTCGAGTCTCGTCTTTGCAATTCAATTTGTGAAAATGTGAATTTGTATAAACACATTGAGTATATTTACTAGTGATATGAGTATCATTCGCATATAATTCTAGCCCTGATGATGTCGAAACGTTGGAATGTTTCTTTTAAAAGAACTTGTGTCCTATGCATTAACACGTCATAACAAACAACACATATCTTTATTTTATATTGACCTACTCGATATTTAAATATATAAATATTATCCATCAGTTATAATTATAAGAAGGTACATTAATACAGATATACGTTTGATCATAAAATGTAACTATATTTGAAGGATAAAAAGAGTACAGCTAGTGATTATATTATTAATATAAAAATTGTGAAGAAATATTCTATAATACTTCATATCGTATCATGATATAATTAATATAATATCATTTACAATGTGAATAAAGAATAGATGTGGGTACTATAGACAAAATATTGAAAAATTAATAATTTGATGGTAAATTTACAAGAAATGCAAAAATAAATGTTGCAAGTAGAAGACTTACACATTGCAAGATACATTAATTGTAGTGGTATTAGATAGAAAATGGATAGAATTTTTGATGAAATCCGCAACACGGAGAGCAAATACACCTGTGTTGAGAGTCGATGTTAGGATGCTTCAAAGGGGACTCAAACAACTCGACAGATGAAAGAGTGACAGCAAATAAGTCCTTTGAAAGGATCTTGTGGAGGTTTCCTACGAAAGACGGCGCTGAAATAGCTGACCAGTCGTGTGAAAGATAAAATTTATTTGTCTAAACAGCGAACATGAAACCTGAATATGTAGGTACATACATTGTCACATGTGTTTTAGATACTTTTTTGTGCTTGATGAACCAGGCAGTATCCATAGTGCTTTTTTAATATTTTCGTTATGCATATAATTTTAATTTGTTCATACTTTCTCAATCGGAAAATGCACATCTTGAAATATGTACACACATTGTTAACCCTTTACGGTCGGAAGGCGCCTCTCCGGCGCCACGGCTATTCGGCCACCTCACCCGGCCGAAAATGTCGTCGACCGCAAAGGGTTAATTGAATAACAACATCAAGTGATCTTTCCGAGGAGGTTAGCAGCGATGGAATAATTTTAGAAAGCAGAAGGATTATGCACATAAAATCAAAGTTCTTTAAATTTTGGTTACTACTATGGGAGTAAAATTTCTGCGTCTTCATGCTTGTGTGCGTGATACAGATTTAGAATGTGCCGAAAATGTTCGCCTTGATCTATAACTCATAATAATTAATGAAAATAAGGCGGAGAAAATAATAATCAAGGAAAACATTGACAGTGTCGTTTGGACTTTAATTTGTATTGTTTGTGCTTAACTGATTTGTGTCTTTTCTATTTTAAATACATTCATTTATATTGTTCTTAATTCACTTATTATTTCCCATATCACTATATTCATTAAGAAAGGATAGAAATTTTTTCTACATATGGAGACATTTTGAAGGTATGGCAATTTAGTGGAGTATTTTACTGGAAAAATGGAGATGAGTAAATCAGTACGCTTAAATTAGGGCAATTTCGTCCGAAATAATATTTTTCCCCGCATAAAATAAAGTAGATTAAATTAGTAAAATACCTCATTAAATGCAATTATTACAGTACATGTAATGTTATGTTGTTTAGTCTTTCATAAGCAATTTATATTCTATTTTCAGATACAGAGCAGTTTCAATTTCATTTCGTTTCCTTTATAAAAACATTATGGCAATGTTTTTAAAAAAGTATTTGTTCAAAATTCAAATATTTAAAATAGCAAGAAGCAATAGGAATCTATTTTTTCAGCTTTAAAGTAAAATTTTTGAATGAAATTGAAATTCTTTTTTTCTGAAAACAAGACCATGAAAGAATTCATACCTGGAACATTCGATCCACTTTGTCACGTACACCTTGGTGGTCCAAATTTGGATCGGAAAATTTCCCCATCAGCTCGTATACCGCCGTCACGATATCTGTCATTTCTTCTCTCGTGATACAACCGTCGCCGTTGATATCGTAAAGGGAAAACGTCCAGCGTAGTTTCTCGTCGATGGAACCACGAGACAGTATACTGAGGCCGGTGACAAAGTCCTGGAACATCAGAACGAAATTGGTTTTTTCAATATTTATAATTCCTTACCATTTCGTTTTCTATTATATTAGGTTGCAAATTGAGTCTTTAAGTGTCGAGTGATGTATGCAACAAGACTGCCTGTTTAAGTATGTTTGAAACGCCTTCAGAAGTTGCATCTCTCCGTGGTGCGACCCAACGTAGGTAGGCGATGGTCGCAACGCTCGTCGCGTCTTGGGCCGTCGACACGGTCACCAAACTGTCATAAACAGGGATTCCTGGACAGCTGCACATCACGTGCACACCATTCGCGGTCCTTAAGACCGTTCCTTATAACTTGGATTCCTGACTTCCAAGAATCCAAGTAACAATGCATACACCAAACCCCGCTTCTTCCAACTCATAGTACCACTTCTTGAACCACCTACACCTACCAAAATTCGGCATTTTCCACCAATCAAGAGACGCTCCGTTCTAGCAAGCATCTATACATTCCCTCATTCAGGAGAACATATTCAACCGTCAACAAGAACACATCGATCAGTCAGAACACAAGCAGTACACACACATACATACATCACATTGTCAAGTTTATATTAAAATCTAAGTGTGTTACTAAGTTGTGTCAATCATTTAAAACACATAATACCAATCACCATCACATCATCTTTAAAACGAGCTCCGCAGTATTAATTTACCAACGAGCAGTGGTTAATTTGCGAGATTATCGCGAGATGTCGCATCACTCCGTGATTGACGAAGGTTTCGCCGAAGGCGTTTGTTAGTTACGAAATGCAATGTTTGACCTGACCTCGTCGAGTTTGCGAGTGTCCCGCAACGGTTTATGGTCATATTGTTCTGCGAGTCAGCGATAAGAACTGGTATAACCGATATGGTGAGGTCGTAAAATCGACCGGGAGTTAAAGTTTACATGTCCCGAATGCCGAAACAGCAATTAGGAACCAATAAGGAGCACAAGCTTCGTCCATAGCTGTCGATGAAATAGTATGCGTCCTAATCTGTAAAGACTGCAGGTAAATATTGGTTAGTACCGCAATTGTTTACGAGCAAAAGCATATCGTGCAGTTTTAATGAAAGACTGTATGCAGAAATTTTGGAAGATCGATTCACAAAGGACTTTTGCAAGCTTACATTGAAGGTACTCTTTCTACCAGAAATCTATCGGTGGAAGGAAGGTACCTACTATTTCTATCTACATCTGTCGGTGTCCCCACTTCAGGTTTTAATTTACGACCTAACTATGCAGGGTGTAACAAACATTTTGGAGGACCCGGAGATGGGAGACTCGTGAGGGGATTTGAAACAAGTTTTTCCTTAGCAAAAATGTTATTTGAGGCTTTGTTAACGACATATTAACGAAAAACCCCGACCAATCACAGCGCGAGTCTGCTAGCTGAGTTCCTGCGGTAACGTTGGCTACCAATCGCAGTTCGTAGCCAACGTAACCCGCAGGAACTCGTCTAGCAGACTCGCGCTGTGATTGGTCGGGGTTTTTCGTTAATATCTCGTTAACAATGCCTCAGATTACATTTTTGCTAAGGAAAAACTTGTTTCAAATCCCCTCACGAGTCTCCCATCTCCGGGTCCTTCAACATTTTTGTTACACCCTGTATATTGATTCTAGAACCTATGCGTTACCGATTGCCGACTTAATGTTTAAAACTGTTGCTTTTTAGTTAAAGGTTGAAGAGTATCGAGAATGTTTGGCGAACACGGAAAATATGTAAAAGATGGAACGATTTGAAGAGAAACGAACGTATAGATCAACATAGAAAATATTCGAATGAAAGGCTAACGAAATTTTTAAAATACATGGACGATGCTTGTGGTACCGCGACGGACCACTGTTTAATGTGAAAAAAATAAGCACTATAGAAAATTGTCTGGTGTTATAGACATTACGTGATCATCTATGTCGATTTCAGTAAATTAAATGTATCTTCACGCGAAAATGAAATTATACGGAATCAAAGGGAACACGCGAAAAATCCATTTAATCGGGCGGTAATTGACTGTCCAACGGGTAACGTCAGATAATGCTTCGCCCCACGGGCAATAAATTTTAATACCAGCTGGTTAAGTTACGACGAGGAAATGCGATTCAAGATGAGAACATGTGCACTCCGGAATTAAATGTGTTTGTAGCTCTAGGCTCCAGGTGAAAAGCATTTCAACGAACAAATTAAGAGTTCGTTATAAAAACTATTTACGCATTAAATGTACATATTGTTTCCACGGATAAAGAAAGGATTATTCCTTATTAACGATTTTTTAAAGTAAAACATTGATAAAAAAGTAGGTATGTTTGATTATTGACAGAATTTGGATTGTGAAAATTATGGAACGATTGAAGCAACTGTTTAATTATATCGCCAGACATTCAAGGAAGTTCCCAATCTAATTTTTGTAGTATTCAAATATTTGTAGAACATCATAATTAGTTATTTTTCCGTTTCTTTCCAATCCTTTCAAGAGTTTTACGTATATTTTGAATAAATAGGTTATCGATTTGAGTAAATAAGAAACAGTACTATTCCATATTTAAATATAAAATACAGAATATGAAAGTCAAAATGAAGCAAGTGCTAGAATATTTTTGTGAGGAACTATATAAAGCATTGTCTTCTGTTTTTAACACGTACACAAATAATTCCCACAGATACATGTCGTGTTATCCAGTTTGATTGAATCTTTCTTGCCAAAGAAAGTAGATACTAGATATACATATTGCCACTAAACATCTTGCCACGCGAGGCACTTCCTCTTCACACGTACTTTCGAGCACACAAATTTGCTCTCCCATCAGGTTGCGTACGCCGGCGCACCAGTACGATGTAGCTTTTGCGCAGGCGCTGGAGCCGAGGCTACGACGATAGAACTTAGCATGGAGAGGGCTCTGAACTCATTGCCACTCTACTCCCCTAAGGCCCTGACCATGGCAATATAGTTAGAGTCCACTGTATTCCTTTAAGTTAGCGAAATCTAAATTAAAAGTGGCCGGTGTCGAAAAAGTCGAAAATGAACGTATAAAGGAAGTAAAATAATAAAAGTTAACGGTATCGTCTGGTTCCATAGCCGTCGTTCCTGGTATGCGATGGAACACGGAGGAAATGGCCGAATTTAATTAAGATTAATTCTCTACCTTAATTAACTTCAGTATTGAACATAATTGATTTAATTTTGCAATAAAGAAAGGAGAAGGTATAATAATTTTAATTCATAAAAGTACCGTCAAATATATCCCTCAGTAAAATCGGCTATTTCATATGCAACGATCATAATACATAACAGCCAGTATGCGCATATTTTACGTACGAGTATATTGTGAAACGATTGAAGCCCATGAACTATTTTCAATCCTAATACAACAATTATTATGTCAATTGTAGCAGAACTTTGAACAGCACAATTTTCCTGTTTGGTCTACTGTGCCACTTGTGCGTATTTGTATCTGCGTCGAAAGAGAACGATTACAACGACGGTATATGTACAATTTCCGTATGTTCTAGAGTTTCATGTTCGGGAACGCAGCTCGAACTGCATTCACGACGGGAAGCTGTGCATCTTTACCGACTGTACTTTGAATTGGACTTTTATTTTTCAACAAATTTTCAATCCTTTTTTCTCTCATATTTTCACAATGCTATCAACTACAAAAAGTAATCAGCGACGACAATGTTCAATTATATAACATGTAACCGTACTTTTGGCCGTTTCTTTTTTCGGACGCCAATTATATTATTTAACTGTATTTTAGTAAGTTCTCTGTTCGTACGATAATTTATGTAATCGTACTATTTAACTTTTACTTTGAACGAAATTAAAGTCAAAATTTAAAGGCCGGTTATTTTACTCTCTCGGATCACACGGGTGATATGCCCTAGTATCGCGGAGTGGTAGGATTCGTGCCTCCAGTACTTGGAGGACGGAGGTGGTGATATGGATGTTTCAAAGAATCATAGATTTATCTGGTAAGATCGTGATATATTCTGTAAACCGTGATGTGTGATACAACACGCGATTAATTTTTGGAGACGGAGACTATAATACAATGGGTGGTGCACCCGCCACGCGATTCCACGTGTTACACGCAGTCTTTGTCACAGTTTCGTGCTTGGAATCTCAAATATGATTGATCAATAAGTAGTGCCCAGAAATCTGTCGCATCAACCAATGATCCTGCCGACAAGGTCGGGAGAACTTCTTGGATGGAGACACGCACTAAATCTCAGTGAAACCGCACTACCTAGGATTTCAGTTACAGGCACAATTTCGTGAGCTCAAAACCTCTGTCCGATACTGGTGGAGAAACATCGCTTGTGCTTGTGCGCTAAGCTTCACTCCGAGTAAACACTCCTTACTAGGAACTTACTTATTGTTAGACGAGAAATAGCGTTCCTTCGATCGACGGTCCGCGTCGATAGAATTTTACGTTATTATTGCGCGACTATCCACCAAATTGGCGTACGTGACTCAAACGGCAAAATCACAAGATATCCTCGTACGTTTTTCACGCTGTGAGTTGGTGAGTAATTTGCATTATACGAAATTTACAAATAATTAATTTTAACTTCACTTTTGATATGATCCAAAAAATGTTTCAAATGTTGCCAAACTAATAGCTGCCGTGGTTGAATTGGTTGGGTACAAAAATAATAAATGATACAATAAATGACTGGATGAGTTGAGCACTGGGAAATGTTAAATAGTGATCACGCGGTCACAGTTTGATTTTTACAAGGTGTATCTGAGCATTGACCGCGGTAATGAATGTTACAAAAATGAGCCTGACAATGAGCGATCACGGTGTATGATGATTAGACAGAATTTTCCACAATGGCCCATGCCACGTGGTGATTGCACACCGAAAATCAACTGCACAACGACCAATTTTCTTGATCACACTAACACACAATATCGATTGGTTCAATGAGTTATTAATTGATGAGAATCACAACGAAAAATGAACGATGGTGAAAATAAAACTATTCGAGTCGAT